GCCAATTGGTCCAGTGGTGAGAATCTTTGTCTTCTTGACATTGAGTCTCAGTCCATACTGAAGTCTGCAGTCCTTGACCCTTCACAGCAAGTGCATGAGGTCCTCCTCAGTTTCCGCAAGCAGGGTTGTGTCATCTGCATAACGCAGATTGTTAAAAGATCTTCCACCAATCCTGATGTCACAATTCTCCTCATAGAGCCCAGCCTCTCGGATAATCTACTCTGTATACATGTTGAAAAGGTATGGAGACAGGATGCATCCCTGGCGTACACCCTTCCCAATTTTGAACCATGCAGTGTTACCCTGCTCTGTTCTGACTACTGCCTCTTGGTCCAAGTATAGGTTTCGCATTAGCACAATTAAATGTTCTGGGATTCCCATTCTTCTCAGAGTCAGCCACAGTTTGTTATGATCCACACAGTCAAATGCCTTTGCATAATCAATGAAACACAGATAGACATTCTTCTGGTATTCCCTGCTTTCAGCCAAGATCCATCTAACATCAGCAACAATATCTCTAGTACCACGACCCCTTCTAAACCCAGCCTGGACTTCCGGCAGTTCTCTGCTGGTGTGCCTTTCTAATTGTTTTTGGATAATCTTCAGTAGAATCTTGCTTGCATGTGAAATCAATGGCACTGTTCTGTAGTTTCCACACTCAGCTGGGTCACCTTTCTTTGGAATGGGAAGAAATATAGATCTCTTCCAGTCAGTTGGCCAAGTGGTTGTTCTCCAGATTTCTTGGCACAACTTGGTGAGCACATCCAGGGCAACATCTGTTATCTGAAATACTTCAATAGGGATCCTAATCTTTACTGTTTTACGGTCGGAGATAGTAAAGATTAGGATCCCTATGTTCATTTTATATTTTGTGTGTGTCTATAACTGAAGACAGTCTTCAGTTTGGAAGACAGTCTTCAGTTTGGAAGCTCGTGTGTGAAGCTCTTGAATTCTGAAAGGTGGATTCTTCTTGTTTTGATTGAGGGTAGGGTGTTGACTATGAGCTGGTGTTAATTGTGTTTGGAATGACATTCTTCTAAGTGGTCAGTACTCATCTGTCAATTCGCTGTACTGAGGTCACTTGAGGTTGCTGTGATATTGAATGCTGTGCCACTGGTATGTCAAATGCCATCATGGTTCCCCATGGTGGACAGTTTAGTAGAGCTCCCAGATTAAGACAGGCTTGGTAGCAGGAGGGGCATTCACTTCCTAAACAACATGCCTCTGGAAACTCTTATAAACTTGGAGAAATGACAGTGGTTATAGAACAGGGTTCAGATCTTTTGTTCATAGGGTCGCTGTGGGTTGTGCTTAACTTGACAGCACGTAACAACAACAACTATAACAAGTTAATACTATAAAGATGTAATAAGAAGTGGGGTGTATATCTCAGGTTCATTCTTTGTATAGCCGCCTGGTATTCTATTGTGTGATTGTGTCCTGGGCGTGTTTATACATCCCTCTGTTGAAGAGCAGAGGAGCCCCGATGGTATAATGGATTATAAATTGGATTGCTAACTGAAAGGTCTGAGGTTCAAATCCACAAACTGCCCCTGGGGAGTAAGATGAAGCATTTTTATGGCCTCAGATACCCAATGGAGAATCAGCCTAAGTTAGGATTGATTGATGGCAGTGGGCTTGGTTTTGGGGTTTTAGTGATGAGTTTACCTGGTGACCAAGAGGTAGTTAAAACACTCAGCAGTTCAGAAGCTGCACTGCAATCCTAGAGGTACATGGTTCAAATCTACCAGATGCTCTGCTGGAGAAGGAGGGGCAATCTCCTCCTGTACCAGTCAGATCCGATTTGACGGTACACACAAAAAATAGTAAAATAAAAATTTTAAAAAACCAAAACACACAGCAGCTATCTCAGAAGTCAGCAGTTTGAATCCATCAACTGCCCCTCAGGAGAAAGATGTGACACTCTATTTCTGTCAAGATAACAGTCTGAGGAACCCTAGGGACAATCCTGCTTTGTCCGTACGATTGTGAGCACAGACATCAACTCACTGGCAGCAGGTTTAGTGATTGTTTGATTTGATTGTGTCCAGTTTTATAAATAGCGAGCTGCCTAACACTGTGTACACTCATGGTAGTAGTATTTCTCAAATAGGGGCAGTTGTATCAGTTGTGTCTGTCCGGGGCTTTCCGCGTTATTTGGAGACCGTTTTGGTGGTTACCTGGGGAGTGGGCGGTGGTACTGGGATGGAGAGGGTAGAGTACAGGTGCTGCTGAACAGCCGGCACTGTGCCGGACAGCCCCAGGGCAAGCCGGCGTCATCCAAAATACCCACAGGGGAAACCTGGCCAAGATAAGAAAGGGATTAGGTATTTTCAAAATAGGTATTCAAAACTCCTCGATGCCCATAGCGACTTGAGGGGTTATTATTTGGCCCTTTAAAACATTACTTAAGAAGATCAAGCAGCAGCGTGGACATGTGCTGGCTCAGTGCACAGTTTTACAGCTAAGAGACAGATTTGTGTGACATGAGAAAGCCGTGGACAGGAGACGAACCAGAAGTAAATGTGTAAACTGAGCAACACTGAAGTAGTTCAGATTTTTCTTTTCTCTGCAAGGTCCATGTTACTTTTATAATTGAAATGTAATTTAGGGTGGTTTGTTGTGGCTTTTTTATTTGTTTGTTTTTCTTGTTGTGTACCATCAAATCGGGATCCAAATGGCAAAGGAGATTGTCCCTCCTCCAGTGGAGCATTTGGTGGATTCGAACCACACGCCTTCAGAATTGCAGTGCAGCTTCTTGCCACTAAGCCACCAGAGCTCCCTTGGGTTTTTGTATTAAGGGCCTTTTTTTTTTGCCTTTAAGCAAAAAATTGGAAGGTTTTTTATTATTATTTGGTGATTTTAAAAACCTTTGGTGTGTGCCAGGCACTGTGCAAGTCTCTGGAGAGACAGCTGTAGTTAAACAGTCCTGCCGGTACAGAGCCCACGTGCTGTGTGAATACTACACACCGCCAAGTGCTAGAAGGCAAACAGGGTAGAACTACACGAGCAGGCAGGCGGGGATGAGGGGGCAGGGAAGGTCACTGAGCATCAACGGGTGAGCAGAGCCCTGTGAGGAGCGAGACGGATCTTTCCAGACATAGGAAGCCAGCATGGTGCTCAGCACGAGCGTTGATAGGCACATACTCTGTGTTCTCTGAGCTAGTGGGAAGCCCTGACTGAGGCTGCACTGGGGTCTGGATCTGGTGAGGCCTGGGAGGAGCGTCGTTCTGCAGGGTGACTCAGATCCCCAGCTGCAGGCTGGGCCTGGTGTGTGCAGGCAGAGTGGAAGGGCGGTGCCAGGGGCTCAGAACTGCCCGAGTCTTCATTCGCTCCATGTGGATTGTTTGAGAATCCCAGGCCCTGGCCTCTGACCCTGCCTGTCTCCCAGCCTTCTGGGCTCTGCTCCCACGCCACGCCAGCGCTGCCAGGGCTTGACCGCAGCCTGAAGTCAGTGGGAAGCCCAGTGGTCCCTGGGAGTGAATGGCTTCCTCCCCAGCTGGCTTGTCCGTTCAGATGACAGGTGTGTGTTATGCACTGATGGTGACTGGCCCTGCTCTCAGAACTGAACTGATGGTGACCGACCCTGTTCCAGTGACTGGACTGATGGTGACCAACCCTATTCCAAGGACTGGACTGATGGTGACCAGCCTTGTTCTCAGGACTGGACTGATGGTGACTGGCCCTGCTCTAAGGACTGGACTGATGGTGACCGGCCCAGTTCTAAAGACTGGACTGATGGTGACCGGCCCTGTTCTAAGGACTGGACTGATGGTGACTGGCCCTGTTCTCAGGACTGGACTGGTGGTGATCGGCCCGGTTCTAAGGACTGGACTGATGGTGACCGGCCTGGTTCTAAGGACTGGACTTATGGTGACCGGCCCTGCTCTAAGGACTGGACTGATGGTGACCGGCCCTGTTCTAAGGACTGGACTGATGGTGACCGGCCCTGTTCTCAGGACTGGACTGATGGTGACCGGCCCTGCTCTAAGGACTGGACTGATGGTGACCGGCCCTGTTCTAAGGACTGGACTGATGGTGACCGGCCCTGCTCTAAGGACTGGACTGATGGTGACCGGCCCTGCTCTAAGGACTGGACTGATGGTGACCGGCCCTGCTCTAAGGACTGGACTGATGGTGACCAGCCCTGTTCTAAGAACTGGACTGATGGTGACTGACCGTGCTCTGAGGACTGGACTGATGGTGACCGGCCCGGTTCTAAGGACTGGACTGATGGTGACTGGCCCTGCTCTGAGGACTGGACTGATAGTGACCGGCCCTGCTCTAAGGACTGGACTGATGGTGACCGGCCCGGTTCTGAGGACTGGACTGATGGTGACCGGCCCAGTTCTAAAGACTGGACTGATGGTGACCGGCCCGGTTCTAAGGACTGGACTGATGGTGACTGGCCCTGCTCTAAGGACTGGACTGATGGTGACTGGCCCTGCTCTAAGGACTGGACTGATGGTGACCGGCCCTGCTCTGAGGACTGGACTGATGGTGACCGGCCCTGCTCTAAGGACTGGACTGATGGTGACCGGCCCTGCTCTAAGGACTGGACTGATGGTGACCGACCGTGCTCTGAGGACTGGACTGATGGTGACCGGCCCTGCTCTAAGGACTGTACTGATGGTGACCGGCCCAGTTCTGAGGACTGGACTGATGGTGACCGGCCCAGTTCTGAGGACTGGACTGATGGTGACCGGCCCAGTTCTAAAGACTGGACTGATGGTGACCGGCCCGGTTCTAAGGACCGGGCGTCCAGGGAGGAAGAAAGGTATCCTTGGCCTTGCTCACAGTCTAATGGGGGGACCTAACAGACAGATGCACAGTCCAAGCATCCCCAGTAATACTTGCCATAAAGGAGTGTATCCAACACAGAGCAGCTGCTCGGGATGCAGTGTTCGAACAGAGACCTCGAGGAGCGCGCCCTTCTGTTCTTACTCCTTGATTTGTGTTTAGCTTGCTGCTGATGGACGTTGTATGGGCTGGAGGCAGGGATGGTCGGCTATGACCCTGGGACAGATTGCAGGAACAACTCCAAGTTCGAGGTGGCGGTGGCTGGCTCTGCGTCTGGACTTGTCACTCGAGCGCTGATCAGCCCCCTGGATGTCATCAAGATCCGCTTCCAGGTATCCATTTCCCCAAATTCAGTGTCTCGTTGAAGAAAAAAAGTCCCTAGCACTTGGAATTATTTGGTCAAGCTGAAAAACTTCACTGCCTTTGCCATCATTATCGAAAGTTCTCCTTCCCACTCAGGGTTGAATTCCCCAATGAGCAGAGTACGCTCCCTGCAGATTAGTGGGTGAGACTGTGCGTTAGTGTGTAACCCACGCTGTTCCCACCCTCCTCTGGCCCTGACCTCTGACCTTCCCCCTGGAACTTCACAGCTTCAGATCGAGCGCCTGCACCACAGTGACCCCAGAGCCAAATACCACAGCATCCTGCAGGCTGGGAAGCAGATTCTGCAGGAGGAGGGCCCAGCGGCTTTCTGGAAAGGACACATCCCCGCCCAGCTTCTCTCTGTTGGCTATGGAGCTGTCCAGGTAGGTGGCAGGGGAACCAGCCAGACCCCTGGGATGACACTTGCTCAATAGAATGGCACAGGGGAGGGGAAAGCCATCTACACACACTGCCCGACTCGGAGGTGTTCCTCATCCCTGAACCCCCATCCACGGAAGTTCACAGCAAGGTGCTAGGTGCTGCCCAAGGAGGCTGTATAGACGCTCTGGCCCCATGGGGCTGTGTTGATGACAATTCTGACACTTTCTATTTTGAAATAGAATTTTTTTTTGTTGGCCTGACTCATTTTGCTGTGACAGCAGCATCCAGGTGAAGTAGAGCAGATAGGATGTGGGTCACAGAGAGATCAAGGAAGTTGCCTGGGGTCGCCCAGCGTGTCAGTGGTGGGTCCAGGACTGAAATCCCAGGTTCTCTTAGTTTATTTCAGTGTAGTTGTTGCGGGCCAGGCCTTGTATAAACACTTGATGCATGTCACATCATAACAGTTGTTTGAAGTAGGTTCTCTTGTCACTCCTAACTTACATGAGAGAAGATTGAGGCCACCCAAAGTCATGTAGGTGGAAAGTGGCTCCTCACCCACGCAGGCTGGCACCACTGCCGCCATCCCATCTCCGCACCTGGAATGGTTACCCCTGCAGCTCGATGAGCAGGCGTTGTCAGGAACCTGGGCTCCCTCGAGCTGCCTGGAGGAAGAGTGTCAGGGGCTGCACCATGGATGTCCTACCAGAGGCTCTGCTCCCAGGGAGCCCCCTGCCAAGAACCAGCAAATGACCTTCTCTTCCTACTTATAAATTAAATTAATGCATGGAATTCTTTGACGTAAGAAACATTCCATGGATTTCCTTAGCCCTCCATTGAGCATTTGCTTCCCAAGCCCGTCAGAAGGCGTCTGACTTCTGTTTGGGGTCGTACGTGCGTCCCTGCCCTCACTGCTCAGACACCAGCTCTCCTGGCCTCTGCTTGCCCCTATAGCCAGGCCCCACCTGGGTTGTGAGTGGGAGTGTGTGGTCTTGGCCTCTTCCTCCAGGCGACCCTGACAGTCACGCACTCTTGCAGTTTTTGTCCTTCGAGCTGCTGACCGAGCTGGTGCACAGAACCAGCGAGTACGATGCTCGTGATTTCTCTGTGCACTTTGTGTGTGGCGGCCTGTCCGCCTGTGCTGCCACCCTCGCCGTGCACCCCGTGGACGTCCTGCGGACTCGATTTGCAGCTCAGGGTGAGCCCAGGGTGAGTGACCAGGGGCCAGGGAAGGGGGGCGGGCAGGTGCTCCAGGCGCTGGGGTTCTTCTCCTTAGAGGAAGTGAAACTGGGACAGCGGTGGCTGTCAGGTCACCACATGACTGTCCCGAGTGAGCTCAATACCACGCAAGGGACAGGAGCTCCTGGCCCACCAGGACTCAGAAACCCAAATGTAAATCAGAGCTACACAGCAACCAGGTGAGGAAGGGCCGCTGAGAGGGGACTTGAGAGCATGTGGCTGTGTAACTGTGAAAGCGTGCCGGGGTCCCACAAAGGATGCAGTGGGGGAGATGGGATAGAGGAGTCAGGCTTCAGGACTGCAGAGAAAGAGAAAGGGATTAAACCCGGCAGTAAACCTCCCACCGTAATCCAACTCCTGAACATACTTAAGAATGCATATGTAGGCAGGTGCGCTAAGTGGAGAAGTGGGTGGTTCTTTTTATATTAAAAAAGCAAAAGACCAAAAAGTTGAGAGAACCCCATTCTTTATTATTAATTTTAATAAAAATTTACAGAGACTTTGAATTTCCATTCATTCGTTGTTGCACTTTTCTCCCTCCCTCCCCCTGTCCCCTCAGTTAGTTCTTCTCTTTGAAAAGTAAAAGAAAAAATCTTTCATTGTTATACAAATCCCTCCCCACAAGTCTACTCCACTATGCAGCCTTAGTTCTGGACTCCTGTCATGACAATAATGCCTACTCACACATCCCTTTTAAATCGTTCTCTCCCTCATCTGTTTCAGTGCAGTAGACATTCTTTATCCCATCTTTCTCAGTCTCCTCCTAACCCTGATGTCAGTCCTGTTTCACAACGGTGGTACTATGCAGTATTTGTCCTTTTGTGACTGAGATATTTCACTCAGCATAATGTCCTCCAGGGTCACCCATTTTTTTATGAGTTCCTTGTTTTTCAATGCTGCATAGTATTCCACTGTGTGAATATACCAGAGCTGCTGTATCCATTCATTTGTTGATGGGCAGTTGCTGTTGTTTCCAACTGTTTGCTATTGTGAACAAAGCCTTGATAAACATGGTGTGCAGAGAACCCCATTCTTTACTGCCTAATCACACACAAGCTTTCCCAACACCCGTAGCTGTCTTATCCACCCCAAGTGGAAATAAACATGAAGCCACAAAAAAAAAGAGAATGTGTATGTGTGTGTTTTCAACCAAGAAGGACTGTCTGCTGCCTGCCTTTTGCTTTATTTAGAAACTGTTGGTGGGGACACTCTCTGCTTAGATTTGATCTAGGACTAGCGAAGAATAAGAACTTCTGGAATTCTTCCAGTTCCTTGTGTTGCTCAGGGTGGAGGTCCTGGGAGAAGTGAGCAGCTGTTTTGTTCAGTTGATACTTGATGACTTGCTTGAGGAGGGCAGAGTCCCAGGGAACAGTCTGGAGTGAAAGTTCAATTGCTCTGCATAATTTAATGCAAAATTGGAGTTTTCAGATGACCACTTTGCTTGGTCAAATAGAAGATGAGGCAGGAAGATGGCGAGGGGGTTGTTGATGGACAGAGGAGTGGAGAAGTTGCCATGGGCTCGCCTCTTTTTCTGCCCTCGGCTCTGCTCTAATCCTCCGAGGTTACCTTTAAGCCTTTCTCTATGAGAAGACAAAAGTAAAGGTTGTTATAAGAAAAGAGAATAGAGTATTACCTTTCTACTCCGGCGATTCGGAGGTTGGTTTCTAGGTTCTGGAATGCACAGGAAGTGACCTTTGGGAGAAAGTGAGAGAGACCTGTTTACAAATGCAAAGCCTTGTTTCCGAATCTCCTCGTGTCTCTCTGTGGACGGCCCGCTCAGCGCCCCAGCTCTGCCCTCTGTCTGTAGTGCCTTTTCCAGGACTTCCTGTCATCTGGGGTTTGGCTTCTTTCCGTTCGCATTGTGCAGCTGGCCTCCACCCTGTGGTTATGTCTCTGAATAATCCTTTCCTTTTTGTAGATGAGTCATAGCTTCTGGTGTGGATATTCCAGGTTTGTTGGTTGAAAAAACATTTGTGCGGCCATTCTGACTAAGGAGTTCTAAAATGCTGTACAGGAGCTCTGGTGTCCTAGTGGCAAGAAACTGTACTGCAATCCCAGAGGTACACGGTTCAAATCCACCTGACGCTCTGCCAGAGAAGGAGGGAAAATTTCCCTCCTGTTCCAGTCAGATCTGATTTGATGGTACATGCACCATAAATAATAAAAAATTTAAAAAAAAATGCTGTACACATTCCCATAACGGTGACGGTGTGGACGGAATACTAGGAGGGGGAGTGCTGGGTTCTAGAGTAAGGAAAAGGGGCTCTGGTGACACAGTCGTTAAGCACTCAGCAGGAGAAGGTGGCAGGCAGGTGTGATTCACAGCCGTGGACAGCCAGTGCTCTGTGCTCTGTGAGGTCTCTGTCAGCGAGGGGTTGGTACCGTTCTTACCAGCAACTCCAGCTCTTCTGCATCTTCAGTGATATTTAGAGTTATCAGTTGAAAATGTTTATGTCTTTAAAAACCTTTAGCCATTCTGGTAGATGAAGTGCTTTCTCACTGTGCTTTTAATTTGTATTTCTTGAATGTGGCGGATTTCTTGAATGTGGCGGATCTTTCCACGTACTTGTTTGGCTTGTACCTTCTTTGGTAAAGTAACTGTTCAGATCTCGTGTCTGTTTTATATTAGGTGGTTTAGTTTTTAATTTCTGAGTTTTGTGAGTCTTTTCTTTGCAAAGGTTTTTTCTGAGTCTTTGACTTTTGCTTTCATCTTCTTAACTGTGTCTTTTTTTATTATTTTGTGTGTGTGTGTACCGTCAAATCGGATCTGACTAGTACAGGAGGAGATTGTTCCTCCCTCTCCAGCAGAGCATCTGGTGGAATTGAACCACGCACCTCTGGTATTGCAGTTCAGTTTCTTGCGACTAGGCCACCAGAGCTCCCTAACAGCGTCTTTAAAAGAGCAGACATTTTTCATTTTGTTGTTATTGTTAAGCAAGTTGTAGGCGACTCATAGCAACCCTATGATTCACCAAAAACAGACAGGCCTGAGGGCCGCAGATTCGAGTTACTCACCTTTTCTTTTTCCCCCCACACCTTTTCTTGGTAGCATCACTTTCTGCCCACTAGGCCACCTGACCTCTCTCTATGCTGGTGTTGTTAAGTGCTGTCGAGTTTTAGGCAACTCATAGCGACCCTATGAACAAAAGACCTGACACTTATATAACTTTTGTCCTTTATCCAGGTTCATAGAGTTTCCAGAGGCAAGCTGTTTCACTTTAGTCAAGTGTAATTTATCAGTTTCTTCTGTTATAGATTCTGCTTTTAGAATTGCATCTAAAACGCCTTGTCCTAACCCAGGGCCACATGGATTTTTCTCTCAAGAGCTCTTGTTCACTCAATTTTATCTTCTGAAAGGTAGTCATCCTTTTATAGTATCTTCTCAGTGCTTCTGAGAATATTAGGTATAGTGATGTGCGTGGTTTACTTTTCTCTCTGTAAAATGAGCGTGGGCAGCATGAGGACAGTGATATCTGAGCTCTATTAACAAGGGGAACCGCCCCCATCAACAGCATGCACAACACAACACAAAACCATTTCCCATAAAGGCAGACATGTCCTGCACACTCCCATACCAATTTCTACTAATTTTAGTATCAAATCCTACTGCTGTCCTGGGTCCAGAATCCACTGCAATTTCTACAGACTTTATGGAACTCTACTTACGGTGATGGGGTTTATTAGGGAAGTTACCAGGTTATAATTCAATCTGGCAGCAGGATACAGTTTCTCAGTCTTGACAGCTTCTGAAGCTTGTTCCTGGCCCTTCAGCCTTTAGCCTTGTGGCTTTAGGCCAGTGTTTCAAAGCTCTCTTAGTCCTGTAAATTAGGGCGTCTCCCCCTAATCCTCTAGTGAGCTCGGGCCTGTAGCTGACTGGTTAGATAGGGCAGCTCTCAAGATCAGCTCTGTCTCACGCTGGGTCTCTGGTTTTCTTCTGGGGCTTTTGCTGGTGTAGGTCCCCAGCTGAGTGATGCAGAAATCCTTGACACGGAAGGATGCGCACTGCTTCCTCTTCCTTGTTGGTGTTGAGATTCCCAAATTCTGCAGCTGAATCCGCTCAGTGTTATGTGAGACTAGCCAATCCCCTTGGGAATAAACCAACACGTCCTATTTGTATGACCCTTCCTGTCCAAGTGGCAGAGTCGAAATCAGTGGCCAGGAAAACCTCTGACACCACACTCTATACTGTCTCCTTCTTCCAAGTATCTCTCTTCATTTCATGTATTTGGTTTCTGGCTAGGTTTATTAAATTTGCATTTATGTGTTTGTTTGGATTTTTTTTTACTTCCTTACTCTTTCTTTCTTTTCCTTATTTAAAAAAAAATATGAGAATATACACCGCAAAACCCAGAGTGATTCCCCAGCCTCTGTCACTGGGGCATTGATTAGTCATCTTACCCTGCTTTCTGTTATTTCTTCCCTATTAACATACCCTCAGCACCTAACAACAGTAACAACGACAACATAGAGAGCGCTATATTGGCCTAGTGGATAGCATAACTGTCTGTTATGTTACCAAGCTCAAGATGGGTGATTTTCATCTGCGGCCCTCAGGCCTGGTTCAAATTGGTTGTGGTGGTTTTTTTTTCCAAACATTCTTCTAAGTGGTTTAGCATTGGTCTGTCCACTTGTTGTACAGAGGTAATTTGTGGTTGTTGTGATGCTAAACACTGTGACACTGATGTGTCAAATGCAATAATGGTCACCCATGGTGGACAATGTTTGGTGGAGCTTCCCGATTAAAACAAGCTTGGAAGCAGGAGTGGCATCTACTTCTGAAATGGCTTGCCTCTGGAAACTATGAACAGTGCTATGGTCTTTCATTTATAGGGTCATTATGAGTCATCTTTGACTCGATGGCACCTAACACCACCACCACCATCACCCTCAAGTTTCCTGTATAATCTTTTGGGTTGCTGTTGTCAGTTTGATCCCATATAGATAGATCTCTTCTTTTTTTTTTCATATAGATAGATCTCTTAATGTACTCTCTACTAATCCAGCTATTATTGTTTCGTTTTAAGAAGGCTTCAGGGGATATTTTTGTTTTAGGATTTAAAGATGATGTCAGGGCAATAGTTTGTGGAGTCCAGCCAGCCTCCAAGGCTGCAGAAAGTCTGACTTCCATGAGAATTTCTAATTCTGCTCTGCATTTCTCCCTTTTCCATCTGGATTCTTCTATATAGACTCTGCTCAAAAAGCTCAGTCATGGTGCCGGGCACCGTTCCGTGCTGCTGGTCTCGTGGCAACTTGGGTTTTATGTTTTAGGAGTGTTTTCCTCAGCTGTCAGACCACCTTTGTCTGCCATCCTGGAGTTAAGAGGGAATCATAGAGAAACAGGAGAGCTCTGAGTGTGGAGAAACTCTTTGCCCAGTGGCTTCTGCCAGGCCCTGGCCGTTCAGTGGTGGCTACCGATGTCTGAGAGCCAAAGAATAGAATTCGACCTGTCGGTTCTTCAGTACACTACTTTTCTGCACCCTCAGCTGGGCTGAGTCAGAGCCCTCTGGTCCATTTCCACCCACCGTCTGCTCCACAAGAGAAAGATGGGCAGTCAGCTCCCGTGAGATTTACAGCCTCTGAAAACCCGCTGGAGGGTCAGCTATGAGTCAGCTCCACCTTAAGGCCCAGAACAAATATTAACAGCAGGGTACAAAGAAAACACAGTTGCCTCTGGGCTTCCTGTTGTCTCAGAAAGCTTACCCAGCGGAGGCTGTGAGAGCTGGAACTCAGCAGGACGGCCTTGTTCTTCTGGGCCTCACAAGGTTCTGCCAAAAACAGGACTTTTTATTATTTTTGTGTGTGTGCCGTCAAATCGGATCTGACTGGTACAGGAGGAGATTGTCCCTCCTTCTGCAGCAGAGCATCTGGTGGATTTGAACTGCGCACCCCTGGGATTGCAGTGCAGCTTCTTGCCACTAGGCCACCAGAGCTAGCCCCAAAACAGGACTTTTACGATCTCTCTTATAGTAAGAATCCTACCTCCTTATGGTGGTGAGTTTTCCATCTCTGACAGATAATTGCCTTACCCAGGTTCCAGCGTTCACAGGGTTTTTACATGACAGAAAATCCAAATAGTGTCTAACAGTCTTTAGCGAATCACCTTGGCTCCCTTGCATCCCATTTCCCCCACGTCGCTTTGTCCTCTGGGCGCAGAATCTCTGAATCCACCAAACACAGAGCGCTTTGTTTCCTCCACAAGCTCACCCTTCTGCATCCTGCTCTTTCCTTTTAACTGTGTATTTGGGGGACCACGCTGTGCCCAGCCACTCTGTTCTGGGAGGTGAGTTAACCACAGTCTCTGTCACCACTCGTGGCGCCCAGAGGATCAGTGCATCCAGAGTGAGTGTCTTTAGACTCATAGCTTTGTGGCTTACGTGAGCCTGGGAGGGGGCTGGCTGGAAACCCCTCCCTTGAACTTTGGCCCAGCATTTTGGACGCTTCTCCTGGCGGGAGGAATAACACTGTCGCTGTTAGCTGACATTTGAACAGACAGTTGGCTGGGGCTTGGGCTAAACGCCATGCTCACTTGAGTTGCACTTGTGTGTATGTCTGTGTATCCAGGTCTACAAAACCCTCCGAGACGCTGTGGTGACCATGTACAGGACGGAAGGCCCCTTGGTCTTCTACAAGGGCTTAAACCCCACCCTGATCGCCATTTTCCCCTACGCTGGCTTCCAGTTCTCCTTCTACAGTTCCCTGAAGCACATGTATGAGTGGGCCATGCCAGCCGACGAAAAGACGAACGGTGAGGGGGCCCCGGGGGGCAGGGGCTCCGTGGGCACTCCACCGCCCCCACCTTCAGCCCTGACAGCTCCTGAAGCACGTGGTGGTGGTGGTGGTGGTGTTAAGTGTCGTTGAGTACAACTCACAGCGAGCCTGTGGATAACAGATGTGAACTCTGTCCTACCCTTTGCCATCCTCTTCATCCTCAACACGTTTAAGTCCATTACCACAGACACTGTCAGTCCATCTCTATAAGAGCCTCCCTCTCCCCTGACCCTCCACCTTCACAAGCGTGCTGTCCCTTTCCAAGGAATAGGCTCTCTTAGCAATATGTCTAAAATAGGGGAGACGAAGTTTCACCAGCTGTGCCTCCACCGAGCACTCTGCTTGCACTTTCTCTCGAGATAAGTGTTCTCTGGCCGTCCGTGGAGTCTTCAGCGCTCTTCCTCCAAACCCACAGCTCAAGTGCATCCGTTCTTCTTCTGTCATCCTTATCCATTGTCCAGCCCTCAGATGCGCAGCAGGTGACTGCAAAGACTGAGTCGTGTAGGAAGTAAAAGTCCCTGTGAGGAGATAAGATACCCCTGAGCTCTGTATCTGCCTGTCACGCAGCCACGTAAACAAAGCCAGCAGCTCACAGAGGCGCTGGTTTTCCCAGCCTTTGCTGCGCCCTTCACAGGCATCACACCGTTCCTTTCCAACCATTCGTCAAGGCTTTCTCCCCCACCCCCCGCCCCCCTCCCGGAGCTCTAACTCGCAAATCACCTGTTTTTAGTTTATTTAACTTTTGCGACGGGCATCGTGTTTTCTCATCCAGCCTTGAGCTTGCACCAGGGTGCAGTCCCTGCTTGACTCCAGCCAGCAGTATCACCGTCCTGCCACCAGCGGTGCCATCTGTCGCCCGAGGTCATTTGTATGTGTGCCTGGCTCTCTGCCACAGTTAACAGTGAGGCCGCTGAGAGCTGGCACTTTGAAGCCACCCGTCCTCCCCAGAAGCAGCTCACTAGGGGAGGGACAGCCTCTGTCCTGAGGGCCGTGAGCCTGGTTCTCTTGTGGATGAAATTCCTCATTGAGATCCAAGGACACCGATGGGGTTGTGTTGTGCTGGGGGGTCAGAGCTGATGATGGCAGAGACAGCCTTTGCATTCTCACACTTCTGCCCTCACCCCTTGTCTCAGGTTCAAGGAACCTCAAAAACCTGCTGTGTGGCAGCGGAGCTGGGGTCCTCAGCAAGACCCTAACGTATCCTCTGGACCTTGTCAAGAAGCGGCTGCAGGTTGGAGGCTTTGAGCAGGCCCGAGCCACCTTTGGCCAGGTGAGGCATCCCTGGGCCGCCCCTCTAGTCCCTGCTCCTCAGGGGCACACGGGGAGGCACAGTCAGCTCCTGCCCGGTGGGCACCATTAGCCACTGTGGCCCTTTGACCGAGCACATGGGAAACCCCGTGCAATGTGTCCTCACTGGGGGCTGCAGAAAGTCCAGGGTAAGGAGCTTCCCTGTCTCTGCTCTTCAGAAGGAGCCCTGTGATGCAGTGGGTGAGGCATCGGGCTGCTAGCCAAAAGGTGTGAGGTTCAAATCATTCTGTGGGTGAAAAATGGGGCAGTCCTGCTTCCATAAAGATTTACAGCCTCAAAAAAAAGTTTTAAAAGTACAGCTTCATAAATCCTGTGAGTGAAGCAGTCCTATGATTCTGTGAGTTGGCACGGATTCAAGGGCATTGGGAGGGGGTATTTCTTTTTTTTTTTCTCTTAAAGAAGAAATGTAAAGAAAAAAGCATGCAAAATCACAAAAGAAAGATAAGAGGAGGAAAAGCTTCCAGTCCATTTGAGTGGTAGGAACGCCCTCAGATAACAAAAGCCCCTAAAATGCCAAACATGAGCCTTAGCACTGGGCGGTTTGGGGCGGTTTGATCTGTGTTCCGCATGTTCTGGGGAAGGAGGGGCAGAGTCACTGGATGTGTTTGTGTTGTACACGCACTGAAAAGGCTGTTGTGCAGGGAAAGTCAGCAGCCGGTGGTTCTGTGGTGCTGCTCTGCGCCTCCCGCACAGTCAGATGGACTTTTCATCTCCTGCTGAAGCCCTGGTGTTGAGGAAGGCCCCAGAGGGGAGGGGACAGGTGGACAGTGACGAGGTTCTGACCTCCCAAACCCACTGGCAAGGCTGAGCACGAAACCACACACACCCCTGCAGGTGCGGAAGAGAAGGACATCGGGGCACAAATTGGAGGAGAGGGGCTGGCTGGGGAGGAGTAAAAGCTGGATTTGTAGTTGTAATACTTTTTTTTTAAATTTATTATTATTTTTTTATTATTATTATTTTTGTGTGTGTGTCCCGTCAAATCAGATCTGACTGGTACAGGAGGAGATTGTCCCTCCTTCCCCGGCAGAGCATCTGGTGGATTCGAACCGTGTGCCTCTGAGATTGCAGTGCAGCTTCTTGCCACTAGGCCACCAGAGCTCCCCTTAATTTATTATTTTGTGTGTGTGTGTACCATCGACTTGATGGCACTTAACACCGCCATCAAATAGGATCTGACTGGTACTGGAGGAAATTGCCTCTCCTTCTCCAGCAGAGCATCTGGTGAATTCAGACTGTGTACCTCTGGGATTGCAGTGCAGCTTCTTGTCACTAGGCTGCCAGAGCTCCCCAGTAATACATTTTCTTATAGAAATACTTGGAAAGTTGAGAGAGACAAAAAGGAAAATCAATATCACCACTCGGAGGCCGTCACATAGTACTGTTAGGTGTAGTTTTATGAAAAAAATCTCATATGTACTTTTTTGAACAATTGGTTTCTGTACAATTTTACATGGTGCTTCATTCATGTACATTGTATTTTATACAGTCATTCATATACATTGTGTTTTATATATTTCCTGTTGATCAATGCCTTTTATCACCGCATCTCAGGTCCCCATTGCACCCTGACTGTTCCTTTACCCCCTCCATCCGTCCACTCATTTCTGCTGCCCTTGTGGTCCCCCTCTCCTTTTGAACAGCTATACAGATCCTGTTTCTGTGCTAACTGCCACACGTGTACATCTCTAAGGAGAGTGGGCTCACACTAGACAGATTTTGTAATATCCCTTTTCTGTTACTACCTTGTTTGGAAGGGGTGTGTGGATTTGGCTGGGGGAGACAATGTGAGCCAAGAAAGGAAGGGGACCAGAGTGACCTGGTTTGTCTGGCAGTGGGACAGAAGGGAGAGAAGATCTGGACAGCAGAGACCAGACAGTGACACCTGAAGTGCCAGGCTGTGGCGCCTGGACTTTGAGCTGAATAATGTCACTGTCACCATTGCTGGGCGTCACTGGAGGATTTTCAGGAGACCAGGGGAGGCATAGGTGGCCTTTGCTGGGGGCTTCAGGCACAGCACTGCCTGGTCATCTGGAGAAGGTGGGGCTGTAGGTAGGAAAGCCAGGTTCATTGACATGAAAACTCATTTTTGAAATAATTTTATATTACTAGTTTATAAAATATAACATTGACTTTGGTTTAGGTATTGAATAAAGAGAATCCAGATATTAAAAAAAAAAAAGAAAGCCAGGCTCAGGGTTGGGGCACTGGTCAGGCCAACGACTGGATTCACATCTGCTGTCCAACTAGAGCAGGGCTACATGGGCCAAGGGAGCCCAGCAAGCAGGCCTCCCGGGGCAGCACTTCCTGTCCAGGTACAGGTTTCCAGGTAACGCAGAAGGAGCCTCCTTGGAAGGGAAATGAGGAGGCCAGATCTGCTCTCTTCTGTTTTGTTTTGTGGTTTTTTTCCCCCCTGTCTTCTGTTTTTGCATTCATTCCTTCATCCTCCGAGAAATGTTGAGAGCTCGGACGTGTCAGGTGCTGTGCTGACAAAGGAACAGAACCAACCCAACCTGAATCATTTTTTCTCCCCAGGTACGGAGCTACCAGGGCCTCCTGGACTGCGCCAAGCAGATTCTGCAAGAAGAAGGGTCCCAGGGCTTCTTCAAGGGCCTCTCCCCCAGCCTGCTGAAGGCGGCCCTCTCCACGGGCCTCGTGTTCTTCTGGTACGAGCTCTTCTGTAACTTTTTCCACAACATGAAGAAGGCGAACTTGAGCTCTAAGGAGCCTGAGGGTGGCCTTAAGTCGGCCTGAAGCGGCCTCCTGAGAGAAGACGCCTCACCTCTGCTGGCTTGCACTTAGAGGTGCTGCCTGGGCTGCCCCCTCAGCCAGCTGTCCTGAGGTGGTCCCCGTCACATCATGCCAGGCAGCACCTCCATCTCCTCACTGCTGGGACCCCACCACAGGGCACAGGCTTTTCTTGTGAGCAAAGGAAGAGCAGGACTCGGTCTGTGCCAGAAAAAGAGCGGGAAGCCGTATCTGTCAACTCACTCCAAAAGAAGAAGTTCTGTCTGCCAGGAAGACCTTCCTGGACTGGACGTGGCTTGAGCAGAGGACTGGGGTCAGGCTCTTTGTTGGAATCTGACCCCAAACTTGCTCTGTGATTCCCACCAACTTATCCGATAGACATTAAAACTAACAACACATTCCTGACTTTACTCCTGTGTCTGCCTCTCCTCACACAGGGCTGGCAGGGGCTCCGTCTTCTGCAATTCCATTTTTCTCCACAGCTGCAGACTTCAGCCAGCTGTGCACCTAGTCTTCCACAAGGAGAAGACGGGAAGTGGGGGGGGTGTGGATGGAGAGAAGTGGCAGCCCTGGGCCCTGGCCACCTTGGTCAGCTCCCCTTTCATTGGGTGCTAGACCAGCCCTTGCTGAACAAGTAGGACCTCACAGCTGAGCCAGTTGACTGTGGGGTGTTTCTCGGCTTCGACCAGGCACCCCTTCTCTGTGATCCCAGAGGACAGTGAGTCTCAAGCTGTCCAGAGAAGAGGATGGCAGGGGCATGAGATTGGGCAGCCAGCCGGTCATCCTGGGAAGATGTGTTTGATGTTCAGAAGGGGCTTGTTGGCACAGGGATCCATGAGAAATGTTTAGATGCAGGGGAGCTGCTTCGTTCAGCAGCATCGAAGAAGAAAACCCAACAGCACATAGCCACCACCTTTCCACTCCAGGCCCCAGCCTGGCGTGTACAGTGAAAGCCAGGATGGAGAGACAGCCTGAATCCCACCTGGGACTTCATGCAGCCAGCCAGGAGCCTGCCCTCTCTCTGAGCCAGGCTCCAGCCAATCCTGGAAGTGGCCGTCTCCTGCTAGTTCCTCTGTCCCAAGCCCTTCCTCTCTGTGTGACTCCCACGCCTGGTCAGGTCTCAGAAGCCTCCGCTGCCCTTGCCTTGCTGCAAGGACACTCAGTGTTGCAGAAGGCACCTGCCTGAGTGTTTTTATGAAATTCCAGGGGGTTTGTTGCAGTAAAGCTTATCCTCATCTCTCCTGCTTCTTGGGTATTTTCTGTGATACGTCATAGTTCTCCAACCTGGCCTTTTTCCTAGAGACCACCCTGGGGCTCCTTGTAAAAGGAGAACTTGGGCAACAGTCACCTGTCGTGGCCTTTCTGCAAGTTAAGCCTGCAGAGGAGGCAGCAAGCAGTCTGTCTTCCTGTGTCCTGTGTCCTGCAGCCCCAGCTTAGAGCAGACTGGGGTGGACACAGCACTCTGCAGTTCTTGGGCTGAATAACCATCAAGACACAGGAGAAGGGAGTGTGTTAAACCCTGGGGTCTCTCCCATACCCCTTTCCAGGTACACATCGCCAACTGTAACTTTTTGGATTTCCGACCTCACAACAGATCTGAGCCCTGTCTTATCCTGTACCAGGGTTCAGATCTGCTGTTCATCGGGTCACTATGTACTGACACTTAACCACCACTACCACTTTCACTTCCCCCCCACAGGAATTTTTTTTAATTTTATTTCATTATTTTTTGGGTGTACCGTCAAATCAGATCTGACTGATAAAGGAAGAGATTGTTCCTCCTTCTCCAGCAGAGCATCTGGTGAATTTGAACCGTGTACCTCTGAGATTACAGTGCAGCTTCTTGCCATACCACCTTCACTTTTAACTTTATAGGACTCTTTAGTACTTAGAATAAAATGTGGTGGTTGGTAATGAAAAGGTCAGAGGTTCAGATCCACCAGCAGTGCTGAGAGAGAAAGATGGGTAGTCTCCATCATAAAGATTTACAGCCTCAAAACCCAGCATGATGGCAGTGCTTCTCAGTGGTTTGGGTTTAGAACTTTGAGTCAGCATGATGACGTCACTCTCTAAAATATGTGAGACAAAGATTTACCATCTTTGTCTCTAAAAATCACTCTGCACCTTCTCCAAGACCAGTACACGGGACATTCAGTACTCTGCTGCAACACAACTCAAAGGTGTGTCATCCTTATCCATCATCCAGCTTGCATGTGACTAGCAAGTGACTGAAAAGACCTTGTTCTGAATCAGACACACTTTAATCCTCAAACTGATATCAGGGTCCTCAGTAATGTAGAGGAAATGCTGTAATCTAGACATGTTTGGTAATGTGGAGACATTCCTTGGAGAGGGACATCAGAAGAAAGGAAGACCTTCAACTACACGGATTGACACAGTGACTGCAATTCAGGGCCTAAGTATGTGAGAGATGGGGAGTATGGCACAGGGCACAGCATAGGGTCAGGGTCGCGGTGGGTCTTCTCAACAGCATCTAACAACCGCTTAAAGGGTTTTTGTATACAGCTCCCCTCCCCAGTGAAATAGTGCCTCTGTCCTGGGGGCAGGAGGGCGTGATGGGGCAGCAGCCTGCAATGATCCTGCCTTCCTCCCCGCCCCTCCTCCCCCAGCCTCTCGTCC